ACTAGACATTATCTACTCTAGCTTTACAGAAGACCAACATCATGAGGTGCGTTCTCTGTCCTTTATTTTCAAAACTAGCAGGGCTGAAAGGCTTATCCTCTGTTTGTTCTCTAAAACCAAACAAACCCCAGAAACCAACAAACAAAAAGCCCTCAACATTCTTCTCTTTTCTTATTGGACTAGGACACATACTATAAATCTTACAAAGCCTAAAGCGAGACTGGCAAAATGCTGTTCTGTTGAAAGAGCATCATTATAAAGTCAGTACCACATGACACTAAGACTGCCATTAACTTGGAAAGAAGAATGAAAAATGATTTCTTTCTAATCTGAACAGCATGGGTCAGATTTTGTTTTTCATGCTAAATTCTGTTGGGCAAGACTGGAATAAGGTTGTGGTGGCTGTAGCAGCAGTGGCAGGAAGCTGATGCAAAGGTTAAGACAAACCCATGGCTTTTATTTGGAGTCTTTCAGTGCAAACTGGGGCAGCTCCCCTCTTCTTTCTCTCTTTACACCTGCTTTTGCTTTAGCCTACATCATGTATGGACCATCAAGTGGATATTTTGGGGACTGAGAAACGTCAAGCTCAGCCCTCTTTCTTCTCCTCTCACAGTGAAGCTGTGATGAGCCAGTTTCCTTCTAATCTTGGCCCATGGACACCCCAGGCCCTTCTGGATCCTCCTCTTTCTTCCTCTTCTTTGATACAGAAGATGCTCTTATCATAAAGAAATCGTAATCAAAACGTTTCGAGACAGGTATGTGATGTGGGGAGAGAACAGATGGTGAGGAGAGAGGAGATTTGGCAGCTGTATGACTTCTAGAAGAATGCAAAACATGTGAAGTCAGGGTAGCAGAAGCATTGTTGGGGACAACAACGAGAGACAAACTGGCTGTCTTGGCAAAGAGGTGCCTTTGAGAAATGTAATGGTGTGGATTTGGCCCCAGGGGTGGTGTGAGTCAAGTTCCCTTGCCTGCAGCAGTGGATTAGACCTGCAGAAATTGTGGCACCCATTCTTTATATATATACATATATACACACACACACACACACACGTTTACGTGTGTATATACATGTATGCAGAAACACATACACACACAGACGCAAGTGTTTTTATGTCCTTTTAGCCTGTGCTGTTGAAAAGAGGTTGCTATCTGTATTTGCCAGCACTCTATGTGCTGTAACATTCCGTGACACCACTTCTACCACAGTGTTTAGGAGAAATTGTCCAACGGATGATGAGTAACAGGCTGCTTGCATGATTGTTTGCATGGCAGGAAGAAAGACTTCTCATCCAGAATTAGTCATACATGCTAAATACCACCTTGATCTTCATGCCTTTTTTGTAAGAAAACAAAAATGTTGCTTAGGGAATTGGTTGGGTTATTACCAATTTGTCCTTGCAGAAGACCTGTCCCTGTCACTTTCTGGAAGACGCTTATCGGAGATCACAGAATCACAGAATCATTTGGCTGGAAAATACCTTTAATATTGAATCCAACTGTACCTGTCCACTACTAAACCATGTCCCTAAGCACCTCATCCACCTGTCTTTTAAATACCTCCAGGGACAGGGCCTCCACCACTTCCCTGGGCAGCCCATTCCAGTGCCTCTTCTGTGGAGATTTTTCATAATACCTAAACTAAACCTCCCCTGGCACAACTTGAGGCCATTTACTCTCATCCTATCACTTGCTACTTGGCAGAAGAGACCAATACCCACCTCTTCACAACCTCCTTTCAGGCAGTTGTAGAGGGTGATAAGGTCTCCCCTCAGCCTCCTCTTCTCCAGGCTAAACAACCCCAGTTCACTCAGCTGCTCCTCATCAGACTTGTGCTCCAGACCCCTCACCAGCTTTGTTGCCCTTCTCTGGACACACTCCAGCACCTCAATGACCTTCTTGTAGTGAAGGGCACAAAACTGAACACAGTCTTTGAGGTGCAGCCTCACCAGTGTGGAGTACAGGGGCACGATCACTTCCCTGCCCCTGCTGGCCACACTATTTCTGATACAAGCCAGGATGGCATTGGCCTTCTTGGCCACCTGGGCACACTGCTGGCTCATATTCAGCTGGCTGTCAACCAGTACCCCCCAGATGCCTCTCTGACAAGGAGCTTTCCAGCCACTCTTCCACAAGCCTGTAGCATTGCATGGGGTTGTTGTGACCAAAGTGCAGGACCCAGTGCTTGGCCTTGTTGAACTTCATGCAATTGGCTGCAACTCATCAATCCAGCCTGTCCATGTCCCTCTGTAGAGCCTTCTTACCCTCAGGCAGATCAGCACTTCCACCCAGCTTAGTGTCATCTGCAAACTTGCTGAGGATGCACTTGATCCCCTTGTCCAGGCCGTGGACCCTTCCATTGTCGTACTTATTTATCTGGGTTAAAGTCTCACAGTCATTACTTTTAAAATTTAGCATTTCCCCTTCTTTGTTTTCCCTCTCCTTGCCAGTGCATCAGGCCCTTTTGCTGGCAGCTGCCTGTAGGTGGGGCTGCTGTTCCATGCAGGCTGGGGCACCTGCAGCTGTGGTACAGATGTGATGCAGATGCAGCCTGTGCTGAACTGCAATGGCCAGCAAGTAACCTTCTCTTTTAGGAACTTAAGTGATGCAAAGTGACCATAGTTTTAAAATATTTTGTTTTATTAAATGTTTAAAATAACATAAACATATTAACGATTTTATGGCTGAGGTTCTCATAATTTGTGACTTTACCATTTTATCTGATTTGAGAGCTCAAAAGATTACACCTTAACATTAGAAACTTTGTAATTAAGATTTGTAACAGTAAGTTGTCTCATAGCTAACAAGAGAATAGAAATAGCAGATAGAACCGTATAAACTTTAGACAGTGGGAGAGTACGTATTTTACCATAAACTGGGGTCTGCCAAGATTATGTGGTGAAGAAAATTTTTATAAGCAGTTTCATGTTAATCTGAACAAACCAACTCAATTCATAGTTAACTTTTAAGCAATAGAGAAAAGTGGGATAGTACATCATTAATTATTCCCCAAATAGGCTTTTTTTAAAAATTCTCTTATGTCCGTATCACTTTCATGCCAGTATTTAGCACCATGTAATGGGTTATTTACCATTTAGCTTCTGGGGAATGTACAGCATATTACTTACTCTGCACTAGAACAAAGGGCCCAATTGTAATAAAAGCTCATCCCTGCTTTCTGCGGTAGAACGTCAATGCTGGAAAAGCAACAGCATGCTTTCGACCATGAAGCTGTAGCTTATTTACAAACAAGAGAATGCCCCCCTCCCTCTTTTCCCAGTTGCTTATTCATGATGATAACTTAACCAATAGTACTACAGGTTAGGTTTCCCTTATACTGGAAACTAGGGTAGGATTTAATCACTTGGTCTTAAACTGAATTGGAACAGTGCGTACCAAACAAGCACAGCCTGGCATTTCAATATGAGCTCCACTATTTTTACCATCTCTGTACGTTGTATGAGAAGACTGGTGGTGAAAGATGTAACTATACACACAGGCATATATAATCATGTTTTCTTAGAAAATGTAAAATAACAAATTTCTTGAGGAGGTGGGTAATGTACCAACAACCTGTAATATAGCAGTATGTCTGTTACCCCCCCCTCCCCTACCAAGAAAGAACTGTATTTTCTTAACAAAGTTATTGGGATAAAGAAATTTTATTTTTTTGGTAACAGACATGCTGGAGATAAACAGCTTTGGTTGTCAGTCAAAAGGCAGTTTAAACTCAGATTAATTGTAGGGTTTTGGGTTTTTTTTTTTTTTGTTATCGCAATTTAATAAAAAAAAAGAGATAGTTCTTAATTGCAAGCTTATGCCCATTGCTCTTTGACAGTGAAATGATATTCAGTGTTTCATTGCTTTTGCACAGCAGTTCATAGCTATAGCCTACAGACTAGTGTATATGCATAGTATTAACAAAACAGT